TGTACCAAATTTCATCAAAATCGGATGATTTTTGCTGGAGTTATCGTGCTAACGGACACATATATAAATAAATAAATATATATACTAGCAGAGTACCCATCCTTCGTACGGGGTTGGCATATAAGTATAAAATGCGTATTGCAGTTATACTCAAGCTTTTAGTTTGCAATTGGGAGGACACAGTATGAAAAAAATTGCTTCTTAAATTTTACAGTATACTATGGTATTACACATCTACCATAGCCATTATGTTCTACCTCTTCACCTAAACAATAGAGAAAAATAAATTATTAAACATTCGCAAAATATCACAAACTATTAATGAAATTAAAAACATAAATATAACTGTAAACAATCCTACTTTGACAGTTCTCATTGCGTATCACAGTTTTTTGCTGCTGTTTAGTTCAAATTATCTGTTTTCATAAATGAAAAAAAATAATAGCGCTGCACCCTTTTGCATATCATAGAACAAACATTTTAGTTGAAACAGCTGACTAAATTCTTTAATTCCCTTATTCCCTTTAAATATGAATACTTATAAGGTTAACATGGGGAAATAAAGAACCACTGGGACGGAGCCCGAAAGGATTTTTGGGATAAGAATATGCCTATATGTTAATCGGGAATGTGAGCTAATATCATGCCAAATTTCAGCCCAATCCGTCCAGTAGTTAAGGCGTGATTGAACTTCAAACAAACAAACACACAAACTTTCACATTTATAATATTAGTAAGATATATGGATTTGAACGGATGGTGTTTTTGGCCTCTAGGGACCTCAAAACTAAAAAGTAAATCGGTCCCGGGTCCAGGTCTTACCATGAGTACTACGGTAATAGCTTATTCCCTATATGGGAAATTCGCTAAAAAGAGAAGCCTGTACATTTGACTTGCAACTAGACATTCTATGTTAAAGTAATCGCCAGTTAAAAAAAAATCAAAATCTTCTAAACAGATGTGAGCCACCGACAGATTGTGCTATTCTAAATTACTAATTTCTCTCGAATACACGATCTTTTTTTACCAAGTCAAACTTATGGAATTACTTATTAAGAGCTATAGCAACTAACTGTTATGACCCATCAACTTTGTCAGCAACACAAAATAAGATAGAAAAAAAAGTGACTGGTTCACACAACTACATGTTTTTAATTAAAAAAAAAAAATGGCGACAACTGGTCCATATAGATGGGATGTCTACTTCAGTATCCAATATTCAATGCGGGTACATTACAATTTTTGGTCGAGTTTTCGACCACTAGTTTCAATAAATACATCTTCATTCGTCACAATGATCGTCTGTTAAGCTCTAGACCTAGAGTTGGATATTTTGGCTCCACCCAGCTGTCCCTGAAGGCTTGGCACGGCGTTAGCAAGGACAGTACTCAGTATGTAGGTATCGATATCTCTGATGACGAGGCTCGAGCTACCTCCTGACTGTTGATTACCGATTAGACTCTCGTACGCGTGTGGCGTACCTTGGTGTTGTGTCTGGGTTTGTAAGCCAAGGCGAAGATGGTTTATATATCACCCAGTAAGTAGGCTGTCACCAAATATTTATTGAACAATTTGTCGTCAATTACCACCAAACTAGGACTAACCCTAGTAGTCAGCGTCTCAAACCTCCGTTCGGTATATGCACAACAATATTAGGGGTTGGAACCGCTTTTCTACAAGAGTTTGATATCCCTTACAGGCGCTGACAAAAATCACGTTACAGTAAAAACTACCATTTGAAGGCCGTGTGGATAGTTATTTAATATACTTAAATCAAAATACTTATACATACGTATATTACTTAATTTAAAATGTTACATATTCGGTAGTCCTATCTCTTGACAGGTTAATTTGATGACTGATTTATCTGTTGTAAAAAAGTTTCCCACTCCCATTTGAGAAAAACATTGTGCTCTAAGGATGCAGCTCAATTTTGTTATTTTATTGTCACAACCCTCCTGGACATCCATTCAACCGATAATTCCCACTCAAAACTCTTGAAATTAAAACACAAACATTTAAGTCGACCTGTGTTTGTTGATATCCAAGTGAAAAAATGCGTCAATATTGGTTATGTATTTTGAAACATGGGGTATGTCATTTGTCTAAATCTGAAGTAAAACTACAGTACTCAACTTGAGTGAATCCTTTCATCTACTGGATAGCGTGTGGCGTGTAGCGTGTAGTAGCGGAGGAAGCATGTAAGTGACCTATTGAAGACTCGCTGACGTCAAACCACTGTTGCATAATTAAATTGCCGATTGAATGAATGGTCGTTAGAGGCCTTGTCAGTGACGACCATTGCCAATTGTCTTCAATTCTAGCTATTATGTTTTACTTTTAACATATTTTTCAGATTTATTTTAACACCAAACTGGAACAGAGCTGAAACAACAAAGCTTAAGGGAAGTTTAGAATCGTGTTTGTTACCTTTTAGTACACTTTTTAGTTATGTTAAGCAATACTTATGTGTTGCACTTTTTACTATTTTCTGAGAAAAATTTGTTCTATCCTAGGATCTAAATACCGTATTTAATGCATATTTGGATTCAAATACTATCCCCATAAAACTATTTGGGAATGGGAAATGTTATTAAATGTTGTATGCTATATTGCGTGTTTGTAGGACTAGAAAGGATATATGCTGAAAGGATTGATTGAAAACCGGATTTGTAGAAGACAAAAATAAACGTAAACCTACATATACACTATATTTGAGCTTGTTAAAACACATATTGAATCTTATTAACAAGCAATAAACTCGCAATATCACTAAACTTTTTAGATAAGAATGCATATCAGCTAATCTGCAATGAAGTAGAGAAAACGGGTATACCAACATATAAGCTTGTTCTGTCGTTAAAACGTGTCTCCCGGTTCTTTTAATTTTTAATCGGGCTTAAAAATAACACCAACACCCTAATTTACTTAAATTGTTAATAAGCAAAACTTAGACGAAACACGTCTTGTTATCCAGTTGTTTGATTACCTTAGTCAATAAAAGATTTATTAACTCTTTTTGTGGTGTCTTGGGTACCCAAAGGTTGTTTCCCGGCATAGTTTTCTTTTAGCGAATTACCAGGGAAGTAGCTATAACCGTAGGTTTCATGGTAAGACCTAGGCCCAGGACCAATTTACTTTTTCATTTTGATGTCCCCAGAGGCCAAAAACACAATTTGTTCAAATTTTTTTATATACGTCCGTGAACGTGATAACTTGTAATTTTTGTCCGATTTAGATGAAATTTGGTTTGAAGGTGTAAGGCGGGATAAACTTGAATGGGTTCGCGAACCAGCATGATCGGACCATGGAAACGGGGTTTGACGGGGGGTTATATATGGTAAAAATTAGGTTTTCTAATTTTAGCGAATTTCCCATATAGGGAATATTAGCGAATTTCCCATATAGGGAATAAGCTATTACCGTAGGTCTCATGGTAAGACCTGGACTCGGGACCGATTTACTTTTTCATTTTGATGTCCCCAGAGGCCAAAAACACCATCCGTTCAAATTCATATATACAGTATATATATGTCCGTCAGCACGATAACTCTAACAAAAATTATCTGATTTTGATGAAATTTTGTATACACGTGTAAACCTACATTTATTTGAACGAGTTCGCGAACCAGCATGATCGGACCATGGGAACAGGGGTCTACGGGGGGTTTTATGGGGTAAAAATTAGGTTTTCCCATTTTTGACCCTAAAAACATAAAATTTTGGAATTTTTCCCAACCATTTTGTAGAGCTTAAAAAAAGAAATAATTTAGTATATTGAAGCATTGTTGTATGCCTAATGGTTACGGAGAAAATTCAAAAAGTGCAAATTTAAAATTCCCATGTTATTATTATGGAGAAAATGAAAACTGTTGTGGTTTACTTGTTTATGGATATATATTGATCAAATTTGGCAAATTCATTTATTTCATCATATACTATTGACTTATGGTCGAAAAACTCTTTTTACCTTCCCTGTAGCAGCAAACCTAAGCACTCGTTAAATCTAATGTTATTTAAATTGAGAATAAATATGTCTTATATATGGAATTATTTTAGGAAAAATGTAATCAGACAAGTTGAAATTCGCTTAGTCTGCAGGTTTGCTGCGGCGGGGGTATTTTACCCTTAAAACTCAAAATTTATCAATTTTTCTCCAGACCTTTTTAAAGAGCTTAAAAAAATCAAATGATTAAGTATACCAAAGTGTTTTTGGCGATTGGTTACGGAGAAAATTAAAAAAAAAAATTGTTAATTTATAATTCCCATATTATTATTATGCAGAATATTGTAAAATATTGTAGTTGGTTAGTTTATGGATATATTTTGATCAAACTTGGCGGCTTTATTTATTTCACACTAAGCTATTAATATAAAAAAAAACACACTTTATTAGTTTTCCTGTAGCATCTAACCTAGGTACTCGTAAAACATAAATGTTAATTTAATAGATTAAATACAAATCAATCCAGGCAAATGGAAATTCGCTTAGTCGGCAGGTTTGCTGCAGCGGGGGTATTGTTACTATATATATTCCTAATTTTGTCTGTAATGCATCTGCTCGGATCACTATTTCCTCTTTCCTATGCGGCATCGGTATCATATAAAAATTTGCAAAATTTAGTATAGATATGAACTCCAACCTTGGACCATGTATTCATGTAATATTAAGTATAATGGTAATCAAATATTTTAACAGACAGCACCGGTACAAACTAATTTAACCAAAGAAAATATTTTTAAGAACCAGATATGATCGTTTTTAGTCTATCGGGTAATTAGATGCTACGGTATAACTTACTCATATTTTAATCATTACAGATTTGTTGATACCCCTAGAGATTAAAAAACTGCTACGCTATGATTAATGACACATAATAATTAAAGACCGTAAAGTTGTGAGGTTTCAATACAAGTGTAAAATTGAACAAAAAACAACAAGATTTTACCAAAAGCTAATGTGATACAAATGCTACAATGTAAGTTGGTTTGTGTTGCAGTATCGTGGTTGATGACGTGGACGCCAATGGAGCAGAAGACAAAATGCTACAGAAGCTACTGGCAGATACGGCACCTACATTGAGGAAACGTACACAATGTAGCGAGAGCAAGGAGGATTCTGATGCTAGGATCAAACAAATACAGGTAGTCCTCAGTTGAACACTCTTGATAGAGAATTTCGTAGAGGTAGCGATAGGTAATTTTTAATCTATTCATTAAAAGATACAACCAGTGATTATTTTACATGATGCTGATTTTTTTTATGTTGTTATTCATTTCAGTAGGATTGTAAAAAGAACAGGTAAATCTAGCCCAAGTAATACGTATTTTAAAATTGTATGTGTAAAAATTATTACTATTAGTAAACACTTTTTCGATGTTGAGATAAACAAGTACTGTAAAAATCCTTATCTTGTAGCCTAAAGGTTTACTCTTTACTTTGTAATAATTTTGTGTAAGCCTAATATTATTATACTGGTAGCATTATATCTTTAGCAATATGGGAGAGTCCCTGAATGCCAGGTAAAATAAATGTTCAGGAGCACTCCATATTACGAAGAATATAACTGCACAGCTTGTTTTTAAAGCATGTTGATGATAATTTAGTTCATCTGTTTGATTAAATAGAGTAACGTTAAATAGTATTTTCATAAAAAAGTCGCTTAGAATACGGTTCAGTTAAAGCAAACACAGCTAAGTGCTAGGGGTAAAGTCAAACAAGGAAATACGAGCTAAGACTGAAAAGTCTTTTACTCTGCTTGCTTGGTCCCTTTCTCTTCACACAAACCTTTCCATTTAAAGTTCAAAATATAATATTTTTGCACCGGACTGACAAAAAAGTTGAGCTTGAAACACAATTAATTTTGGTCCGGTTTTCATGAAATTTTGGTCGAAGGTTTAAGGGCGTGAGAAACTTGGATAAGTTTCAATTCCAAAAACTGTAAATTTAAAATTCCCATGCCATTCTTATGGAAATTAAGTAAACTGTTGTTGTTTGCTAGCTTAATGATAAATGTTGCCCAAAATTTGGCAAATTTATTTATTTCACCCTATACTAAGCATTTTGTAGGAACACACTTTTTACTTACCCCATAGTAGCAAAGCTAATTACTTGTTAATTCATAAACCTAATGTTATTCAAACTGGGAAATAAATTTGTTTTGTTTATGGAAATGTTTTAGTAGGAATCCAATTAGGGAAATTGAAATGTTGCTTCGTCAACAGGTTTGCTGCGGTGGGGGTATTTTAAATTTAAAATGGGCTAACCTTTCATAGTACTTAATGAACAAATATACAGTATTGCCCATCCTGTACTATACGAACCTATTTCAACTTTATTCCCAGGTTGATTCCTAAGAGTGGCCGTTGAGGTTATTCCACTGCATACAAAATATTGATTAAACACTGCAATAAATCTCAAATTAAAAATGTTACAAAAAAATGTTAATAAATCTTTCAAATTTGTTTTGAAATCAAAACAAAGTAATTCGTTTATGATTTAGTCAATGTGGTTATTTCATGTTAAACATTCCTCCAACACAACAATAACCTTCAAATTAAAATAAAATACCACCTCCGCAGCAAACCTACCGTCTAAGCGAATTTCCATTTGCCTGAAATGATTTTCAATATAATCTATTTAAATAACACTAGTGTAGGCCTACATGTTGCTCGACATAGAGCAGCTATTGCAAAGATGTTAACTAGTTATTTAAAAACAAATAACTTATTTAAAAACTAATAAAAGTCATAATATCCGATGAGTTTAAAAGACTCAACTCATAGATTACGTACCTAACAGTTCCATATAGGCCTAATAAACATTTCTTGTAAATATTTTATCATTTTTCAAAAGCTGTTCTGGTTTTTTTGTTTCCAAATTATAGCCGCATTAGGTTGTCTATGTTGATCTTCGTCAATGATAATGTAGTCAGCATGGTACTACCCATTGTCGCCAGTATACGTTTACAAATTTCAGTCATTTTTTATAGTGATAACATTTTGTTTAAATTACCGGTACTTAGGAACTGCCTGATTTTCTCCATAACCTCTCTGTCACACTTTTATTTGCTTCAATTGGCATTAATTTGGCTATTTACTGTTATAACTTAAGTTATATTTACCTAGAGAAATGCAGAATTCAAAGGCCTAAATGTTGTTCAGATGTTTTTTTGTTTCCCTTGAATGTGAATAATAATGTGAATAATGCGAATCCTTCGATGAAAGTTTTATTAAGGTTTCTTGGATGTGATTTTTCATATTATTTAAAATCACTTGACTTTTATGAAAACATATATTTAATGTCCTTGTCGTACCAGTTTAATTCGCCCTTAGAGGGGTTTCCTTTGCCAATCATCATAAAGTTAAGTCCGTGTTTCCTACAAAATAGTAGCACTTCGGCTAACATCCTTGTTAAGGTCAGTTTGCAAATCTACGCGACATGCTCTTTTCAATGAGATGTCAATGGATAAAATCGGTTAAGGAATGGCGGAGGAGTTCAACCACAAAGTTTCACGTAGCGTATTAATTATATAGACTAGTGTACATGTTGCTCGAAATCGAGCAATTTCAAAGAAGTACAGGAGTTATTTATAAACCAATTACTTGTTTAAAAACTAATAACAGTCATAATTTCCAATGATTTTAAAAGAGTCAACTAAAAGATTATTAACCAATGGAAATACTCACAATTTACATAACAGTCATATTCCAGTTTAATGGGTTAATTGAGCGTAGCTCTTTGGGATCAACTTCAATGCAACAAATAAAGCAACATCACTCAATAACGGCAGAACACATTTCAGCTAAACTTAACAAGATTACTTAGACTAATAGTGAGATGGTTAATAAACAAACAAATTTCAATTAGATAATGCTAATGCAATTTAAAACGAACTTAAAATTTCCAAATTTTAACATTAGGCTTATGGGACTAAAGTAGCCATATGACAGTTTTTTGTTAACAAGAAAAATGTAAACAAGAGAATCCTAAGGCATTTCTGAACTTTCTAGACTTTTCTTTTAAACGTTTTTAAACCATTCCTATGATTTTAATAAACAAGAAAATGCCGTTAAAACATTTTTTTAAGGCGCGGAATTCACTGAAAATCGAGAAAATATACGGAACTACTTTCTCAATGCGCAGAGTATAAACAAGGAGCGGAGGGATACGGACCAGTGACTACTTTCTTGGGAACCTATTTGTGTTGCCAGCTGATTAGAAACAGCCAATGTTAGAAATCAGGATTTAATAAGCGATATATTGAACCGCATCGAAATCGATATTTAATCCGATAATACATCACTGGTTATATTATGTTGAATTACATCGACGGTGCAGTAAGTTATTACACTTATTAATAAAACGCAGATTGAACACTGATCTAATTTAGGCATGTGGGGAAGGTAGGTCAGGGTTTATGAGTATTCGTGACTACATTAAGTGTTTTGAAGTAAGGTTAGATTAGGGAGGTAAAGTGTAGGTTATAGGTAGTTCCATCCCCATGTTAAATTTGTAACCAGCGTTTTCAACAAAATCTTCTGTATCCAATAACCAATGGTATTATTAAGGACAGTATTAAAATGCCATATCTAAATCGTCCTAATAATGGTAGAAGACCTACATTCCAGTTACATTACAATCATATCCTCCATTAAGAATACTTGGTATTAACAATCGTAAATTATTTCTAGCAAAGAAAGCTGAGTTTAACCGATTGCAGGGGTTGAAATGAAGACCAATATTTATCTTGCACAGTTGAATTTAAACTGTTTTTTTTTTTATTTTTATACTTTAATATAGCCTACTTTAACCGAATGTAAGGGTGAAAAATGAAGTCCAATGTTTTTGTTGTAGGCTACAGTTGAATTTGAATGTTGAATTTCCTTTATCTTTTTTATACTTTAATGCCCTTTTTGGATGTTAATACCAGATTCCAACTACTGTAATATTTTCCTGGTCAAAACTACCATAATGCACTTTTAGAAGAGGTATCTGAATAAAAAGATGTAGTAAAAACAAATCTGAATTATTATAATTTTAATCAATAAAACCAGCATTAGTACATCTTTTGACTTTTTTACATTTAGTTACTTATACAAATATCAAATCACGTTTGTTCCGCTCAACTGGCTTTCACCTCTCTGAAAGCAACCCTAGTTTTTAACAATTAAACTGCCCATGGACGGGATCAGGTAAGCTTACAATTTAAGTCAACGTAAAAAGGCTGTCAGCTTTTATAAAGTACCGTACCTAAGTTATTTAGCCAATTTGTAGACAATAAGGAAGGTGTAGGCTACTTTAAACTCTACAGGACAGAGTTAGGCAAAAACTGGTAGAACTATTAAATGGTGTTATTTATCATGGCTTACTCATATGCCAAATCCTAAAAAAAATAATAACTAATAAGTTATATCATTAAACACAAACCAACGTCCATACCCAAAACTATACACATTTTTAATACAACATAGATAATTTACACATTGACTGTTTACAATTAACATATGTTCTTCTTCTCACTATTAATTATTTTTGCTCCGCAACAGGAAAAATCTGTTTCATTTTCATTGAAATCTATATATAAAGCCAAAAGTACCCATGAGCTTTTGAGAAAACTACAAGTCACACCCCCATAAACCATACACTTAAAATGTTCGTCATGACGAGAAACCTTGCGCAAAATTATCCATTATTTCATAAATTACCCTTTAAGGTCGTAATTCCTTTCTAAAGGAAACTGTCCATATACCTAATGTTAAAAATACCCCAGCTGTTCTTTGTTTGTTATTCTTTCAATTTGTTACCTTATTAAAACCAGGTGTGATTATTTGTTTGTTTTACTGTATTTTGTTTATTTCAGGTTAACTTAACCAATCAATAGTGTTATTAATACTTATGAAGTCAAAAGGGGTGAAGCCCGTGGGTAACAGCTAGTAGATTTATCTATCTTCTATCTATATATTAATAGGCAAGCATGTTTCTTTAAAACCTTTTTTCTCAGCTCGTGTTCATCGTAGGGAAAATCTACGCATACCGTTAGAAAACTATTTTCCTGTAGGTGTGCAGAATCCCTTTATAAATTTAAATAGGCTCAAAGATAAGCACAAAAAATGAGTTTAAAAATTTGAAAATATTAACATGG